ATGGGGACAATTCCACCCAAAATGAGCTGGGGGAGGGATAAGGATGAACCACAAACCCCCTCCCCAAAGTCCTTTGGGCTCCAAAAAGAAAGCCCTGGAAACACCTTCCTGATGGTCCCAGGATTTGGTGTCACCTCCTGGGGTTGGTCCCAGGATTTGGTGTCACCTCCCCGGGTTGGGACCTATTTAAGGGCTAATTAAGTCTTAACAAGGCACGGGTCATGAGCTGCCCCTTTCCTGGCATCACCTGAGCATGTCCCAGTGTCCCCTCACAGCCCCCTGTCCCAATGTCCCCCTGTCCTGATGTCCTCATGTCCCCTTGTGCCCCATGTCCCTGTGTCCTCCTGCCTCCATTGTCCCATCCCCTCATCCCCATATCCCACCTATGTCCCCCATCCCCCTGTCCTTGTCCCCATGTCCCTGTTCCCCCCATGCCCCCATTCCCATGTCTCCCTGTGTCCCCCTTGTCCCCATTTCCTTGTCCCCCCATTCCCATGTCCCCCCTTGTCTCTGTCCCCCTGTGTGTCCCCCTTGTCCCCATGTCACTGTTCTCCCAAACCCATGACCCTGGGTGTCCCTTAGTCCCCATGTCCCTGTCCCCCCATCCCTGTGTCCCCCTTGTTCCTGTGCCTGCTTCCCCGCTTGTCCCTCTCCGCATGTCTCCCCTTGTCCCTGTTCCCTACATCTCCCCCATGTCCCAGTCCCCCCATCCCCGTGTCCCCCACTGTCCCTGTGTCCCCTCCTTGTCTCCATGTCCCCCTCTTGTCCCTGTTCCATCTCCCCCATGTCCCTGTCCCCCCATCTCCACATTCCCCACTGTCCGTGTCCCCTCGCCCCCTTGTCCCTGTTCCCCTATGTCCCCGTCTCCCCATTGTCCCGTGTCCCTGTTCCCCCATCCCCATGTCCCCCACTGTCCCTGTGTCCCCTCCTTGTCCCCATGTCCCCCTCTTGTCCCTGTTCCATCTCCATGTCCCTGTTCCCCCATCTCCACATTCCCCGCTCTCCCTGTGTCCCCTCCTTGTCCCCATGTCCCTGTTCCCCCTCCATCCCCATGTCCCCCCATTGTCCCTGTTCCCCCACATCCCATCATGTCCCCCCATCATGTCCCCCCATGTCCCTGTCCCCCCATCTCCACATTCCCCACTGTCCCTGTGTCCCCTCCTTGTCCCCATGTCCCTGTTCCCCCTCCATCCCCATGTCCCCCCATTGTCCCTGTTCCCTCACATCCCATCACGTCCCCCCGTTGTCCCTGTCCCCCCGTGTCCCCCCTCACCTGACAAACTCCTCGGGCAGGATTTCAGCTCCCACTCCCAGGGCTCCCAGGACATCCCTGCGGGTCTGGAGCAGCAGCTCCGAGTCCTGCGCGTGGTGCTGGGGGCAGGGATCGCGGCCCCGATCCGCCCGGAACTGCAGCAGCACTTGGGAAGGGAGGGAGGGGAAAAGCACCTCATGGAGACAGGGAATTCCACTGGCCTTCTTGGGAAAAGCCCAAGGGAGAAGCAGCTCCAGGGTCAACCAGGATCCAAAGTTCTCCAGACCTTTCTCCATGTGCTTCAGGCCTTTCTCCATGGGCTCCAGCCCGTGGATCCAGGTCACTCAGCCCATGGGATCCAACATGTCCAGGTCCCTCAGCCCATGGGATCCAGGTCCCTCAGCCCATGGGATCCAGGTCCCTCAGCCCATGGGATCCAGGTCCCTCAGCCCATGGGATCCAGCTCGTCCAGTTAAGGAAACGGGGTGAATTCCCCATCATTCCAGTAAGGAAGAAGTTGGCAATTACCTTGGAGGAGGAAATAATCTGGAGTGATTCTTTTCAGCGCCGCCGCCGCCTTCTCCCCGCTCCAGTCGATGGCCAGAGCTTCCTTCAGCTGGCAGAAAACCACCCTCTGGCAGGGGAAACACAGAGATGGGAATATTCCAGGGATATTCCCTGGATATGCCCTCTGTAATTCCAAGAGGAACATCCACCTTTTCCCTGGGAGAAAGCTGGGATCGTCTCCCCCACCCAGCTCCAGCTCCAACAGTCCCTTGTGTCACCTCCCTCCACACCCCCCAGCCCCACTCCCAGTTTAGGGATGAGGGAAAAGGGAAAATGATGGAAATTTTTTTTTCCAGTAGGGCAAGGAAACAATGGGATCTTCCCAGCAGGACCTCAGAATCCATGTGGAAAAACCTCTAGGATGGTGTCTCCAGAAAGCTCACCCCAAGAGTTGAGTGAGTCGCTCTCCTCGTTAAAATGGTTTCCATGGATTGTTTAGGATGGGTGAGGGTTGAAAGTCTGGAATTTTGGGAAAAACTGGGGTTGGAAACGGAGAGAGGTGGAAATTCGCAGGTTGGCTTTAGGGAAAAGGCTTGGAAGAGCCTCAGCCCTTCCCTGGCATCTCAGGAATGGATTCAAAGGAATTCCCAGTATTTGAAAATGGAGGGGGTGGACACAGCTGGTTCTGTTGGAATCCAGGCAATATTCCCAAATTTCCCAAGGGAGGGACACACAGAAGGGTGTTAATTCCACTGGAATTCTCCTCCTAACAAGTGCAGGGAATTTCCAGTCCTCCCTCCAAATTCCAGCTGGGAAAGCAGGACAATGGAGGAACTTCAATGTGAAAAAGAGATTTGACTTGGAAGCCAATTCCAAGTCCCTGGAAAACCTTGGGAGCAGGATTCCAAGCCCCTGGAAACATGGAAAACCCTTTGGAGCAGGGAAAGCAGCTCAGCTCCTTTGACAGAGCAGCTTTGAAGCTCAGAAATCCCCAGTTCCAACTCCCTTTCTCCCACTAAAACCAGTACAACTCCAGAGGAGAATTCCTTTGGAATTCCAAAGGATTTTTCCCCACTCACTTTTTTCACCATGGTTGTCTCTGAGGGGTCAAGTTTGGCTTTCTTGGTGTCTGGTCCATCCTCCACCCCCGAGCTGACTTTGGTCACTTTGGTTTTCTCCCTAAAAAGGTGAAATGTTGGGAATTCCTCAAGTCCTGCTGTTCCAGGGGGGGAAGAGAAAAAATCAGGGGATTTTAGGAATTCCCTCCTTTTCCCAACTCACTCCACGAACTCATGGTCCCCCAGGTCAGCAAACATGAAGCCATGGAAGCCAAAAACGTCTCCAGCGAAAAACTTGATCCTGTTTTGGTGGCAAATTTGGTCAATTTTCACCATCAGATCCCGGGAGCAGCAGGTCAGGCAAACCTGGGAAAAACGGGCACTTTGATCCCTCTTTTTCCCCCTCTTCCCAAAGGTGGGAAAATCTTCCCTGACCTTCCAGACCAGATTCCAGGTCATGTTGGTGTTTCATACTGTTCTGGTTTGGTTTGGTGGGGTTTTGGGTAGAGGGAAGGGCCTCGGAGTGGAGTTGGGGGGAAGATGAGAAGCTTCTCCTGCCTGAAAATCAGACAAGAAGGGACATCAGAGGGACAACAGATGGTTCTTCTACCATGAAAGAAACACCTTCTACCATGAAAGGTAACACCTGAGCAGAGAAGCACCTGGGGGGAGAAGAAGAGCTGTGCTGGGGAAGGAGAGAGGTGCTGGTGGTTGGTGAAGAAGGTGCCCCGGCAGAAGCTTCCCTGCAACCCATGGTGAGGTGGTAGCTCTGCCCCTGCATCCATGGAGGAATGTGGTGGGACATTCCCTGAAGGCACCAGGAAACTTGGCCAGCGGGTTTGGATGTTGTGGCCAGAGGATTTGCTGCCTGTGGAGTCTGATTGTGCAGCTTTGGAAGAGCCTGGGGCAGGGGAGTTTGTTCCTGAAGCACCTGGGACACTGTGGGAAGCCCAGGCTGGAGCAGCTCTGGACCTGGTGGGAAGGACTCAAGGAGGAGAGGTTGGTGGAGGACTCTCTCCCATGGGAGAGAGGTCCATAAGCCCATGGATCCAGGTCCCTCAGCCCATGGATCCAACATGTCCAGGTTCCTCAGCTCATGGATCCAGGTCCCTCAGCCCATGGATCCAAAATCTCCAGGTCCCTCAGCCCATGGATCCAACATGTCCATGTCCCTCTCAGCCCATGGATCCAACCTGTCCATATTTCTCAGCCCATGGATCCAGGTCCCTCAGCCCATGGATCCAGCCTGGCCAGGTCCCTCAGCCCATCGATCCAGCCTGTCCAGGTCCCTCAGCCTGGAAAAGCAGGGAAGCAGGGCAGGACTGTCAGGAATCCTTATTCCTGAGGAAGAAGGAGCAGCAGGAACCACCAGCCTGTGAACTGACTCTAAACCCCATCCCCTTGTGCCACTGGGCAGAGGAGAGAGAGAAACTGGGAACAAAGGGATTTGGGGCTGGGAAGAAGGGAGGGGTGGGATAATCTGTGTTAAACCCTGCTCTGGGAGTGTTTGATGAGTGTGAAATTCCAAGTTGAGTCTGTTTTGCCTGGAATCTTTCCTGGATCCTTGGTCTTGACCCAGGAGCTTTGTCCTCATCCCAGAGTGTGTCTGGGGGGAGCTGAGTGAGTGGCCACGGGGCTGGTTCTTTATGGTCATGTTGGGCCCAAATCAGGACACATTCCCAGTGATTTATCCCATTTTCCCCTCCAGAAAATTCCAAGATCCTTCACTCCCAGGATATTTAAAGGATCCAACATCCCATTCCCAGAGAATTTTGGGTGGGAGTTGGGGAATATTCCTCCTACTCTTCCCATTACTGTTGGATTTTGGGTCATTCTATCATTTCATTCCCAGTGGGACACAGAAATGATCCCATTTCCCCCTCATATCCCACCAGAGAATTCCAAGATCCTTCACTCCAGGGATAATTAAAGGATCAAACATCCCATTCCCAGAGAATTTTGGGTGGGAATTGGGGAATTCAGGGAATATTCCTCTTCCCTTCACTGCTTAGTTTCCCCTCCCCCCAGCACGAATGCTGCATCATTCCCAGTTTTCCAACTATTATTTCCCCCTAAAATAAAACCCCCAGGAAGGTAAGAGGTGGATTTTCCAGAGCTCAACCCAGATCCACAGCTCCAAGATCGACCTCAACACCCAATAATTAATAGGGAGAGTTAATTATTCAGTCATTAAGCCCCTTCCCCCCCCACCTACTGCATCGAATTGGGTGAAGAATTCCTCGGATTTGCTCTCCAGATTCTCAGGATCAGCTTTAACATCCACCATGGGATTGAGCTTCTGGGCTCGTTCCAGAGACGCTTCCGCTCGGTTCCGACCCAAGGATCCCACTGGGATGAGGAACTGAGCCCGAATGTCCTCTTGGGAGACCTAAAAAATGGGATCAAATGGGAAGGTGAGGATAGGAAAAGCCCTTGGGAAAAACCTGGGATGAGGTTGGTCCATCCTGGCTGCTGGAAAACCCAATTTGAGGGAAGATCTTGGTTTTTTTCCCGCTATTTTTCCATCCCTCACAGTTGAATTCCAGGTTTTTCTCCACTTTGGAGCTTGATCCAGAAGCCTCTGGAATTCCATCCAAGGCTGGAATTCCATCCAAGGCTGGAACTCCCTGGCTTGGGAATGACTGTTGAGGGGTTCTGGGATGAGTGGAGCCCAACGTGGGATTTGCCAGCCCCGGAAGAAGGTGGGAAGGAGTTGGAGATGATGGAATCATGGAATGGTTTGGGTTGGAGGGATGTTCCAGGACCATCCAGATGACCAACCAGATGGTCCCTTCCAACCCAAACCATCTCATGATCTAAAGATCATCTAAATCCAACTCCCAGCCCACTGGGACACCTCCCACCAGCCCTGGTTGCTCCAAGTCAATCCAACCCAGCCTGGAACACTTCCAGGGATGGGGAAACTACCTTAAAGACCTAGATGATCCACGAGATGGTCCCTCCCAACCCAAACTAGTCCATGATTCCATGATCTAAGGATCATCCAGTCCCATGTCCTGCCATGGGCAGGGTTATCTCCCACCAGCCCAGGCTGCTCCAGGGATGGGGCTTCCACAACTTCTCTGGGCAACCTGGGCCAGCATCTCACCATCCTCACAGGGAGAAAAATCCCTCATGTCCAACCTCCATCCCTCCCTTTTCACCCTAAAACCCTTTAGATCTTTAGCTCATGGGCTGGTTTGGGTTGGAAGGGACCTTGAAGACCATCTGGTTGATCTTTGAGGTGGCTGCCCCATCCCTGGAGGTGTCCAAGGGCTGGTTGGATGGGGCTTGGAGCAACCTGAGCTGGTGGGAGAAGTCCCTATGGGCAGGGCATTGGATCTAGATGATCTTCCAAGGTCACTTCAAGCCAAACCAGCCCATGATTCCATCACAGGCCCCTCACGGGAGGTGTCCTGGCTCACAGCAGGGTTGGGTCTGGATGATCTTTAGATTATGAAATGGTTTGGGTTGGAAGGGACCTTGAAGACCATCTGGGTGATCTTTGAGGTGGCTGCCCCATCCCTGGAAGTGTTGAAGGGCAGGATGGATAGAGCTTGGAGCAATCTGGGCTGGTGGGAGGTGGCCCTGCTCATGCAGGGGGTTGGGTCTGGGTGGTCTTTAGATCATGGAATGGTTTGGATTGGAAAGGACCTTGAAGACCCCTCAGTGTTCCACTAGATGATCTTCAACATGGCTGCACCATCCCTGGAAGTGTCCAAGGACAGGCTGGATGGAGCCTGGAGCAACCTGGGCTGGTGGGAGAAGTTCCTATGAGCAAGGCATTGGATCGAGATGATCTTCAAGTCCTCTCCACACTAAACCATTCCATCATTCCCAGGATTCAACTCCAAAATCCCACCTGGACCCACACAGCAGCTCCTCACCTGCTGATGGTCCAACATGGTCAAGCTTTTAACTCCTGCCAAGATCAGGTTTTTGGCCACTTCTGCTCCCAGACCTTTCATTCCCACCAGCAGCACCCGGGATGCTCGTAACCTGGAGGAGAAAGGTGGGATTTGGTCATTTACCCCTTTTTTTTACCGCTTTCCCCCCATCCCCACCCTTCTTTTACCCCTTTCCCTCATTCCCACCCCTTTTTTTACCCCTTTCCCACCCTTTTTTTACCCCTTTCCCCCCATCCCACCCCTTTTTTTTACCCTTTTCCCCCCATTTTACACGTTTTTGACCATTTAAACATTCCCATTTTCCTCTTGGAATTCTCTTTTTAATCAGTTTTTTTCAGTTTTCCCACAAAATCAGGTTTATTTGGCACCCAGAGTAATAAACAAAGAGATTCCTGCTTTTTTTCCCCCCTATTTTCATGCTTATTTTAATCTGTCATTACATATTTCCATGTTTTTTTTCCCAGGAAATCCCATCCTTGCTTCCTGGGAAACATCCAAGACATCAAAAATGGGCAAAAATTCAGATAAAAGGATCATTAAAAACCATTTTAAAGTTTAAAAACTCTTTTTTTAGAGAGGGAACAGGGGCTGAGCAAGAGGGTTTCCAGCAAGAAAAGCCCAAGGAGCTGGAGGGAAGGAGCAGGATCTTTGCAATTCCAGCTGGGAATGAATTGGAAGCTCCTTCAGGGCTGTGGGGCCTCCAGAAGCCCCCCCAGATTCCCCCCAAAAAGCTTCTCCAGGTCACTTCTCACATTGTAGGGTCCCTCTGAGCCCCTCACAAGCTCCTCCATGGGCTGAAGAGCCCCCAGAAGCCCCTCCAGGATCCTCTAGACCCCCCCAAGCTCCTCCAGGGTTCCTCACAGGCTGCAGGGCTCCCTGAAGCACCTCCAAGATCCTCTAGACCCCCCCGAAGCTCCTCCAGGGTCCTTCACAGTCTGCAAGGCCCTCAGAAGCCCTTCCAGGCCCCCACATAAACCCCACCAAGCCCCTCACAGGATCCTTAAGGTTCCCTCATAGGCTGCAGGACTCCCAGAAGCCTCTCCAGGATCCTCTAGACCTCCCTCAAGCTCCTCCAGGGTCTTCACAGGCTGTGGGCCCCCCAGAAGCACCTCCAGGCCCCACCATAAACCCCTCCAAGCCCCTCACAAGTTCCTTAAGGTTCCCTCATAGGCTGCAGGACTCCCAGAAGCCTCTCCAGGATCCTCTAGACCTCCCTCAAGCTCCTCCAGGGTCTTCACAGGCTGTGGGCCCCCCAGAAGCACCTCCAGGCCCCACCATAAACCCCTCCAAGCCCCTCACAAGTTCCTTAAGGTTCCCTCATAGGCTGCAGGACTCCCAGAAGCCTCTCCAGGATCCTCTAGACCTCCCTCAAGCTCCTCCAGGGTCTTCACAGGCTGTGGGCCCCCCAGAAGCACCTCCAGGCCCCACCATAAACCCCTCCAAGCCCCTCACAAGTTCCTTAAGGTTCCCTCATAGGCTGCAGGACTCCCAGAAGCCTCTCCAGGATCCTCTAGACCTCCCTCAAGCTCCTCCAGGGTCTTCACAGGCTGTGGGCCCCCCAGAAGCACCTCCAGGCCCCACCATAAACCCCTCCAAGCCCCTCACAAGTTCCTTAAGGTTCCCTCATAGGCTGCAGGACTCCCAGAAGCCTCTCCAGGATCCTCTAGACCTCCCTCAAGCTCCTCCAGGGTCTTCACAGGCTGTGGGCCCCCCAGAAGCACCTCCAGGCCCCACCATAAACCCCTCCAAGCCCCTCACAAGTTCCTTAAGGTTCCCTCATAGGCTGCAGGACTCCCAGAAGCCTCTCCAGGATCCTCTAGACCTCCCTCAAGCTCCTCCAGGGTCTTCACAGGCTGTGGGCCCCCCAGAAGCACCTCCAGGCCCCACCATAAACCCCTCCAAGCCCCTCACAAGTTCCTTAAGGTTCCCTCATAGGCTGCAGGACTCCCAGAAGCCTCTCCAGGATCCTCTAGACCTCCCTCAAGCTCCTCCAGGGTCTTCACAGGCTGTGGGCCCCCCAGAAGCACCTCCAGGCCCCACCATAAACCCCTCCAAGCCCCTCACAGGATCCCTTGTGCTCCCTCACAGGCTGAAGGGCCCCCTGAAGCCCCTCCAGGATCCTCTAGACCCCCCCGAAGCTCCTCCAGGGTCCCTCACAGTCTGCAAGGCCCTCAGAAGCCCTTCCAGGCCCCCCCATAAACACCACCAAGCCCCTCACAGGATCC